TCTATCTATCTATCTTTTTCTATCTATCTATCTATCTATCTATCTATCTATCTATCTATCTATCTATCTATCTATCTATCTATCTATCTATCCCTTTCAAACGATGTTGCCCCACTATCTCTCACTTTCTCTTTTTTATCTGCCTCCCCTCCCCCCTTTCCTCGCCTGCATGCCAGTGTAATGGTTTTCACCCTTCTGACGTGGTTTTTTCACCCCTCGTGCTTCAGTCACTTGCTACCTGAGGTGTGGAACTTCTCCCACAAAGTTGTCACGATTTGACGATGGAAGCTGCTGTGCTTACCGTTGGGAGACATAGCTTTGATCTGCCAAAGCGCGTCTTTTACGTTAAGTTCCAGCGAAAAACCCATCTTTCTCCAAACCTCTCTGAGGTTTCTTTCTTTTTTCTTTTTTTTTCAGTATGATTTCTTTCCGAGAAATTTTTTCGAAACCCTGTTTATCCAGCACTGAGTCATGTATTTGATACCGAAATTACCCAATTTATACTGTTACTTTCAAAATCAAATTTCAGAAACGAATTGTTCAATTGAAATAAATCATTACCTAGATTCATTACCTAGACATTTTCCGAGCAGAACAATCATAACTCGCCTCAGGCCGTTATTCAAAGGCCAATACCAGATCAATATAAGATGCAAGTCTCCCACAATGATTCTTTCTCTCATGCAGTGTGTTCAAAGTAATCACTGCCATCAACACATGCTGTTTGATTCTTATTCCTGAACAGTAAAGCCTTATTGAAAGCGGGCGTAGGCTGGTTTTGTTTTCCTAGTTGAAGCTTTCGGGCAATTATGTGACAAAGCTTAGTTTGGTTAGAAAGATTGTTAGAACTCCTGTGTGGTCTTGTTATATTATTATGGGAGAAATGAAATTGTTTGTAGCTGAATCTCTGAGGGATGTGCTGGGAAGACAACGAGAACAGAGAGAAAATTATTAAAAAGTGATTTGGAAAATAGAGAGAAATAAATGGGGGGAAACGGGGTGGGGGGGCTGAAATGAGAAATGCAGGTTTGATGCTTGTGCTGGTCGGAGTTTGTGTGTTTGTGTATGTGCATTTCGTACATGTGGGTGTACCTGTTAGAGTAAAAGAAAATCAATGGAAAAAAAGAAATAAAAAAAAATATGATAGTCCTGTCCCCTTCTGTTCTGCACCTGGAATTCAGGAAATGGGCAAGCCTCAAAAAGGATATGCTTGCCGCATGCGTAACTTCCCGGTCCTCATGAATGTTGAAAAGGGCTTCCCTTTTCTTGTAGAAGTCCTTTTTTATTAACTTCGTGCGTCTTCCTCCTTTTGTGGGAAAGGTTTTTGTGCTAGTTCAAAATGCTGTGGACATGGTGGATACAGAAATACGGTCCAAACGTTGTGAAGCTAGTGGATACAGAGATAAGGACCACCATTCGCTTTCTCTAACGAGTAAACTTTCCTATCACGCTTTCGCGCACACGCACACGCACACACACGCGCACACACACATACGCGCGCGCGTGTGCTGGTGCGCGCACTCACACACCCATACGCACAAACACACACTTGCATTCTCACACATACCCACTCACGCACACGTACGCACAAGCACACACACAACACAACGCTCACAATACAACACAACACGCACACTCACATATATTATATATAT